AAGCTTCATCGAGATAGGTTTCAGAGAAAACAATAAAAATTGCATCGGAGTCAGTTAAGAGGGATAGGTGTAGGCTGAATACGTTTTGTTCTCTTAGAGAATAATAGTATTTTGTGGGACAAAATCATTAAAGTAATATGTACTTTCGTACTAGAACAGCTATTTCAAACAAAATATGTGCGCTACTCTTTGTTCGCACGGTTGGTTTTTTATCATAGAATAAACATTAGGTAGTATGATCAGTAGATAATCATAGATCATCAATAGATTGTATTGAAAAATAGGTAAATTATATCGAGTACAATTTTAAATTTTGTCATTTATTTTGTATATTATATTTGTTTATTTAATATATTATCTAATATTACAAAACATTATATCACAATTACATTTTAATAATATTTTTATTTGAATATTTTAAAAGATAACTATATCAAATATAAAAAACATACTAAATGTATGTTTAACAAAACTTATTAGAATAACATTTAAATTACAAATATATTTATATAAATTAGAATAAGAGTCGTTGATAAGTGCTGGGCACGCGAGAGTTAAATATGTACGAATTTATTCCACTTTGACTTTGATGTGGAAACCTAAAAATAAAATAAAAGATGAATGAGCAGATGTAAATATAAAAAAATATTATATGATAACTTATATATGTTTCTACAAAAAATGTGCATAATAATATATTCGTCCTATACTTAAGTACCCACAGAAATTATCCACCCGCATAATATGAACAAATTAATTTCATAATCTATAAGTATTCTATGACACGAGATGGCGTCTTAGGAACAATTCATTATATTATTAATCTATAATACTTTTTTATTGATTAAGTATCTTATTAACACATAAAAAGTTATTCCTTGATAATTGCTAACATTGCTTGAATTATTTGTGCATTATCTAAAAACACACTAAGGCATATTTTATCTAGAATTTTTTATAAATATAATTAATCAACACGCGTCAACTCACTAGCGCCCAGCGAGTAACTGAGTAAAGTGCTGTGCTAACGCCGCAATTGAATGGTACAGCGTAACTAAATGCAGTGTCGCCTTTAGTACGTAGTACATAATAGCTCAATGGACAAAATGTGTTCTGTGAAATTGGGATACCTATATTTTTGTGATTTTGTGATAGCTACCTATATTGTGCTGTTGAATCTTGCCATAACAAGAAACAGTAAAATCATTTATCTATTCGCCGGGCTCAAATCGCTTTATCTAAAGACTTATATTTTGGTCGAAGGTGCGATGATGAGTATCAAGCAGGTTGCAGTAATAGCTCAACATCTAGCTGATGAAGAAAAATCTGCTTCAAACGATCCATGCATCAAAACATTTGAGTATGCACCAAATGGCGCACATATAGATAGATTTGTCTATATTCAGCCTATTTTATTCCGTGACTGTCTTTAGAGGCGATAGAGAAAAATTGAAATAAATGAAAGTAGCATCCTCCTAACAACAACTCAAAATAATTAAAAAAAAAAACTGTGCTTGCCAGTCTGCCTGTTAAACGCTGCTACTATGGCAAATATCTCCTCTATGAGGCAATCTATGGGGGAATTTAACAGTGGAATTTTAACAATGCACGAATAAATAGATATTCGTTACTCAGAGGGGGCTAATTTAGATGATGAATGCGGAGCTGATAGTCATCGCAATAATATTGCAAAAGGGGAATTAGAGCGCGAGGTAATGTTCAAACTGAACCTGACTCTACGATTGCGATTCTAAAAAATTAACCAGAAAAACGCTGAACTCCACCGTAAAACAGCAGCATGATGCTACGTATGATGGGTGACCAAAACCGGAGATCCAAATTATTAGTAACGAGGCATTTCATCTCAGTCCTCAGGTGCGAAAACACATCTGTATTTTTATCGAGGATACGGATCCTTGCTTGCTTTTAGGGATTACATGTATATAAAAAGTGTTATGTAATATATAAAAATTAATGTTTGTTTGTACGTATTTTATGCGCACACGCCCGCGAAGGTTTGTGACAAAAACTGGCATTGCAACGCTTGCCGGGAACAGATAGCGATAGCTAGCTAGCGATGGTAGAGCCACGCTGCAGCTATATTATGGTTGTAGCACGAATGTGTCGGCTCGATCGGGAAAGGACCACGCTCTCACAGAATACCAGCGTAAACTAGCAGCTTAATACTGCTGTGTTTCGTATGGTGAATTTGGAGTTCCGGAGACCCTTTTTTACTGGTAACGAGGCATTCCATCTTAGTCCTCAGGGGTGACATCGCATCTGCGTTTTGATTCTTAATCGAGGATAAGGCAATTTTATACTTTCGCGGTCCCCTCGTTCTTTGGCTCTAGGATGATTTTTCGATTTTCTAGAGCCAAAAACGAGGGGACCGCGGTACGAAAACCGAGATCTGACCAGCATCTACTTGCCATCAGGTGGACTGTGTGTTCTTTTGTTACCCTTATTCTAAAAAAAAGATGGGTATGGTAATGGATAAGCGTCTTAATAGAACGCGAAAGGAGGCCGTCGAAGCCAACAGTGCATTTTCATGTTTTACTATGTAGTTCACTGTTTATGTCCAGTTGTGGACTATAGCTGGCTAATAAAAATATTATTAAAGAAAAATACCGTGCGTTGGAAGCTTAAAAAAAATTCATCGTTCTATTCCTTCCCGTGAGAGTCGTAAGGTCGACTATCATAAATGTTTTACATATTATCGTTTACAAATCGGCGATAGTAAGTAGTTTGAGGTGTACAAGACATCGAGTACTACAATCGTCAATCCATAATCAACGGGACTTGTGTCCAGCAGTGGTGTTACATAGGTCGACAAAGAAAAAATAAAGAAAGAAAATATGTTTATCTGATGCAACAAAATAGTACGTACGTGCAGCCGATTTAGAATTATGCTGCAGTGTAAAGTGTTGATATTCAGCCTGTGCCCTTCACAACAACTCACAAGCAGTCGTCGAAGAAAGAAGACACTGAAAAGTATGAACAAGGAAGTAACAAAACAAGAAACAATGATGGAGAAATTATCGAAAAACTTCTTATGACAAACAGACTTAAAGTCTGAGCCTATATAAAGTCACAGATAGGAAGGTATCCCTATCTGTGACTTTATATAGGCTCCGGCCAAATGAAGATGATGAGGAGGAAACATTTGCTTAAACTGTTTCTTCGTTGACGAATCGCGAATCCGTACTTTTTTATAGGATAGGGTGACAAACGTGCACACAGTCCACCTGATGGTAAGTGGTTGTTGCGGTCCATAGACATCTACATCTATCCTCGATTACAAATCAAAATGCAGATGCATTGTCACCCGTGAGGACTAAGATGGAATGCCTCCAGTAAAAGGGGTCTTATCCAGATAACCGTTGGCAATGTGTCCGGAGAAGACCTGGCGACTCTAAAAGTCATAGAACTGCCAACTGCAATCGGTGTCCCTTTGAGGTGAAATTATTATTGGAGCTAGAACGCCTTTGATCCCATAACGGCAGGTAGGTACAAAACAGCCGCTAATGATGACATCAACGAATCAGTGCTGGTCTCCGAGTATACGACATAACAATGTTAGAGATGCCTGTCGGCTCGACTGACTTAGACTCAATGGAGCACACGTGGGATGCTCTTAAGCGAGCTGTTTGGAACCGTCAGCCACCTCCACGGACAGTGCCGGAGATCAGGGAAGCCGCTATTCAAGAATGGTATAGTCTACCGCAAGAAAAATTGGATAGCTTGACCCTCAGCATGCCCAGGAAGATCTCCCCATGTGTTCGAGACATGGGGAGGAGTTATATTGTATTAAATAAAAACCTTCTATTAATAAATTGTTGTATAAGTTTGGTTAAACAATTTTTTCTTTCCATCAAATTTCTGTTACAATTACATTAGAAATGTAAACAAAATCTCTGTTATTAAAAATAGAAAGTTTTTTTTTTAATTTTAAAACAGTGTATTTCTATTGTAAAAAATGTATAACATAAACACTTTTTCTTGCTAAAGTTAAATTTTAAAAATTTAGCAGCTAGTTTGCTAGTGATCACAATCCTTTTTTGTTGTGAGAATGAAGATGACAGAATGACATACAACCTAGTGTTATCTTACCCAATGTACCATACATTGGGTAAGATCAAAAAATGTTCGAATTCCTATAGAAATAAGATGGAGGACAACATCTTGTAAGGCTGAGATAAAACCATGGATCTGCTAATCAAAAGGCCAGTTGGTAAACATCGATATTTTAGAGGATAAATATTGATGCTAAAGGCCCACTCTTATAGAATACTTAAAATTGATATCTACTAATAATAACACACTTATACACAAGGTTTCCATTTGCGTATCCTTGCAGTGATTTACTTGCGGCTACATTTGCAGATTTTTATAACTTCTGGACCTGTACTTATAAAAAAAATATGCGAACATCCAAATATGATCCACTCGTTCTTCAAAGAAACCCTATTTACTCGCATGTTCGTCTCCCTGGTGATTAGCAATAAACTGTACCCAATATAAAATTAGCATCTCTACCAATGAAGTGAAAAAATGAAAATAAAATGAAGAAAAACAAAAGAAATGTACGCTTTGATACAAATACGAGCAATGATCCTTCAGTAGTACCTGTGCAATCTGAACCGGAAATGTTCAAAGTTATTTCTATAAATTTGAATACTGATTCTGATAACGCACTTAACGGGAACCACAGGGTTTTTGTACCACGATGTATATAGTCTGTTTATAATACAATATATACATCGTTATAGTTCAAGAAATGATAAGATAAACTAAAACGTCGATATCATACAGTATTTACCGTGACAGCGGTGTTACATATTTACGTTTTGTGTCAACTAAAATTTACTGCTTCGTGATTTCATAAAAATGAATTCTCTACAAAGAATTGTTGCGCGTTAGCACAGTTTGCGTAATGTTTAATGTTTGTTTATTTTGTTTGTATTGTGTACAACAAGGAGCTTAAAATATTGTGTACAATTATGGAGTTACCAGAAAGCAACAATAGGGTACGCCGATTGGTTCAATGTTGTCGTAGAAAAATTAAAGAGCAAATCCATTCGTAAGTGTGTTGATATATTTAATTGAAATTAGAAGAGATAATAACATGTTTACTGTATAATAGGATGTTGTGAAATAAGTAAAAGTGTCCAAATCACAAAAATAAATTAGATATCTAGTTCCTATTGGGTATAAACTAATAATTTAACCCTCAACAAAAAGTACAAACCTACATCAAAAGGTATAATACCACAGAATAAATTAATAGGTATAATACCAAAAACTAGAATCGTCAACTTAAAATCATAAGCGATTCGCGACAAAAACTTCTTGAACGAGTATTAGGGTTTTTGCAATCGTAACGATGTGAGCAGATTATTTGCAGAAAGTTACGACTATTTTTAGCATCACTATGATGGTAGTCTTGATTAATAGTCTTAAAGTGCAACACAAAGCACATATTTCGATTTCATATTAAAAAAAAAAACAATACTATAATTTCATCAAAACTGTCCACTTCGATGTCAATTTTTCCGTGTATTTGGATATAAATATAAACTCATGTATTTTAATTATTTTATCAAAATACATATAATGTTAAATATCCATAAAATCTTTTAGCTCGTTTTATTTAGTGAATTATTTTATGTGATTATTTTACTATACATAATATATTATACTATACTATAAGGCCCACCACATACTACATACAGAATTCTATTTCAGGATTTCGTTTCGGAATTCCGATTCAAATTTATGAACACAGCAAGTCCATATAAAACAAACGACCCGTAACATACTTACGGTAGTTTTGCGACCAAAACGGCATTCCGTATGTGTGTGGCCGACCCGTTCGTTTGCGTGAATTCCGTATGTAGTGCGTGAGGGGCCTAAATCATTACGCGCAGACGCCGTCCAATTAAGTTCGCTCCGGGTTTTCCCAAAGATAGGAACTATCACTATTTCCACACATACGTGTTATTTCGCACCGATAGCGTAAACTAGTGTTGCCAAGTGTCCCGATTTGCACGGAACGTCCTGAGTTTTAGGGGTACGTTCCAATTCACCCTTGATCGGGACGCTAAATGTCCCGAATTTTCCCTAACCTCCCTAGTCTGTATTTCGATCGATCATTTTGACAGCAAAATTAAATATATCTGTAGGCTGTTACTACATTAACTACTTTTGCTTTGAAAATTTCATATTTATATATGATATAGGCAACATCAAAGTTTTAAACTTTGCGCGTAATATGTAGGCATGGCAAGATACAGATATCAATCATGTTGACTCTTTTTCTCTCTCTCAACCTCCTAATGTCTATCGCTGGGTTGCGCTATGTATCGTTGTCGTTAATTCGACTATCATTTATTATTTCATTCTATTACTAGTAATCAGCACAGAACCTAGCTTACATGCTGCTATGCAAGTACATTTGGTAAAATGCAAAAGTCTTGTCGGAAAGTTCTTCTACTGGTCAATTTCTTCAATCGGTTGTAGGTACCGATGTCTTCAATAAATAAAGTAACATTATACGTCCGATGCAAGGATTTTATCTAGCCTATCAAGGTTTGAGGTATTGATTATGCATGAACGGGTGCTTTTTATATTGTAAATATCGTTTTTAAAAGGCTTTTCGAAGTGCATGATTGATTGGACAAAAAATTATTCGTTCATTTGGTCGGTCCTAAATAATAATTATAAAACACATTGCGAAGTATGTCAAAAATTCTTAATATTATAATAAAAATCTGCTTTTTATAGCTATTGTAACTGTTTCGATTTAAAACCAAATTCCCGATTTTTATCTTTTGTCCCGAAATTTGACCCACTTGATCTGGCCACACTAGCGTAAACTAAAGAAAGCGCAACACACCACAAACAATGAAAGAGTGATTTTTTTATGGAATAAGGGTGACAAACGAGCACACAGTCCGTCTGATGGTAAGTGGATGCTGTGGCACATAGACAACTACATTTATTCTAGATTAAGAAAAAAAACGCAGATGCGTTGTCACGACTGAGGACTTAGATAGATGGAATGCCTCGTTTCTAGTAAAAAGGGTCTTCGGATGTCTACACTCACCATACGAAATGCCTAAGCCAATGAAATAACTAGGTCACTACATCAACAGGTCGAAGGGCTTGGGTTGTTCTCATCGTACAGAACACCCACTCATAAGCTATAAAAGCCAAATGGCTAACACCACTTATATCTGTGAAAGTATGCAATAGCTCGAAGGACCAGAAAAGGACTGATAAACTATATTGAGTATATTTGTAAAGTACAATGGTAAAAAATTGCTTGTTTAAAGTATTTTCCTGAATTATAATTGTAAAAAAATATTTTAATGTTATTAATGAAGTTTAAAAAATCTCTTATTAATTAGTATATAATATGATTAAGAAAATTCAGATCTGAAAAATACAAAATCTTCGTTAATGAAATTTACCATTTTTAAAACATCAAAAATTACTACTAATTTTATTATCTTTGTTATATTAGATTTCTGCAGAGTAACGTCTGATTCTTTTATCTTTTTAGCGATGTTTTTAAGCAGGTTCTAAATAAAAAAAATAATTTCAGTCATGCCATCGCTGGGAATCAAATTTATGGATTATGGATTACACGCATGGAGATCGTCTCGTTTTTTTTATAGAAGAGGGAGCAAACGAGCATGCGGCTCACCTGATGGTAAGTGACTATCGCCGCCCATGAACAATCGTACCACCAGGGGAATTGCAGGTGCGTTGGCGGCTGTTTAAAAAGGTGTAAGCTCTTTTCTTGAAGGTTCCTAAGTTGTAAAAAAGTTAAGTAAAGTCTCGTTTAAAATTGTACGCACATCCCTTGTATTTTTGATAGATTCCATCATTTTTTTCATGCCTAATATAGTCAAAATGCTAACATCTACAAAACATAATATACAGGTCATATAGACCTAATATGGCAAATGTTATACAAAACATACAGGCCGCGTGCAATTTTAAATTAAACGATTTCTACTATAAAGTGTGAAACAACCGTTCCGTTTTTTTTTATAGAAGAGGGGGCAAACGAGCATGTGGCTCACCTGATGTTAAGTGACTACCGCCGCCCATGATCAACCGCAACACCAGGGGAATTGCAGGTGCGTTGCCGGCCCTTTAGAAAGGAGTAAGCTCTTTTCTTGAAGGTCCCCAGGTCGTATCGGTCCGGAAAAATCACCGGTGGTAAATTATTCCACAGAGAGGTTGTACGCGGAAGAAAACTCCTTTTGAAACGTACAGTGGTGGACCGCCAAGCATCCAGATGGTGTGGATGGTATCGGGACGTTTGCCGTGTAGTGCGTTCACGAAATTTGGCGGCTGGGATTAATCCGAACAATTTCTCAGAGCACTCCCCGTGATAGATGCGATAAAATACGCAAAGAGATGCAACATCTCTTCGCAGCACCAGTGAATCGAGCCGATCGGAAAGCACTCGGTCGTCGACGATTCGAGCCGCTCTGCGCTGGATGCGGTCAAGTGGAAGTAGCTGGTACTGGGGAGCCCCAGCCCAGAGATGGGAACAGTATTCCATGAGCGGCCGAACCTGCGCCTTGTAAAGTTGCAAGCGGTGTGCCGGCATGAAATACGTTTCCGTCCGTAAATGTAACTTTTTTGCACTTTATGGCGTTTAGTTATCCTGACGCCAGTAATAAAAAAGGGAAGCGCGCGCCGCTTTCAATGTTTCCCGCCCTTTTTTATTTTTTTCTAAATAATATTCATTAAAATTTTATTCTTTTTCACAAATTTCAGAAACAAAAACAAAATAAAATGGAACTGGCCAGAATTACATCTTTATTGCGGGATTTGCGACTTGAAGACCGGGCTTTACATACGATCTGTTATCAGCGTGGTAAGTAATAAATTAAGCATTTATAAATTGTTATTATTATACTAGTATTGATAAAATCACACAAATGGTATCACGAGCTTTTCAACCGGAATTCGGGTCGTACTGTAATTATTTGTAAGTAACCTTAAGGCTCAGTGATCAGAAAATTACTTACTGTCTTTATTACAAAACCATAGAGCGCTGGGAACTGGCCACCGGCGGCATATCGGTGTTTCAGTAGTTTGTGTTAATGTATGTATGAAACTGTTTATTGAGAGTTTTAGGCTTAAACCGAAGATTATATTATAATCACTAAACCTCGTGATTATAACATAATCTTAGTTTAAAAATGGTTTAACAAGGAGTCTTTTTCACATTGGCCACGGCGCCAGGCTTCACGGAATTTTCCATTTTCGGACGGATTTCTTAATTTACATATTATTTCGAATATTCTCTAAGAATTAGGTTCAAGACTAATTATAAACTACTTCTTGTATAAACTACTTCATCAGTGTTGGATAAGACTTCCTCTTTGATTATTCGTTACTCATATTTGAATGTGGCTCTAACGATGATATGTAATACTGTCCATAGAACTTCTCAATCTCACTCAAAATCTCAGGTATCCTGGAAACGACGCTGCCACGTTCGGTCCTCAGCTCCAATATTTGGCTCTTTATGGTAGACAGATTCAGTTTCCGAGAGATTGTTATTCACGTCGTCCACTGCATTACATTGCATTGCAGTCTTCTAGGCAATTAAAACTATTTTGTAACTGGACTTGCGTAGAGGACGAGGGGTACGGAGAGTTGATTTCTTTAGATGTGACCTCTCCAACTTAACGTTTATGTTCAGTGTGTCTGAATCGCAATCACTGCGACATCACTAAACAGTTGCCGTCTATTCGTCATAACAAATTCAATCTCAGTTTTTATAGAATGTCTAGGGCCTGACCAAGTCCACATCACCACCAGAATTTCTGGAAGAAAGAGTTCATCATAAAGAGTCCCACTTTCTTCATGAAGTCAGCCAACTGCTGGCCCCTTGGGTTCCGTTTCCCTATCCCGAATTTCCTTACCTTCAGCTCACCCTTCTCTCTAGTGCGTAGTAGTTTTGCGTTGAAGTCTACCATTAACACCGTATAGTGGGTTTTGGAGTAAAGCATGGCTCTAGAGGTACCGTTATATTGTTACCGACTACTGTAACCTCTCCCCTCTCTTCGGCACTCAGATAAATCTATAACAGTCCAGCGCAACTTGTCTATCTCTTCTTACAGTTCCAGGATTTTCTTGTCACTCCTCAAGATGCGTGCGTTATATGTTACTAGGTCGAGTCGTCTTAGGTGGCAACCGAACCTCCACCGTAGATTCTTAGTACACCCTATTCCGCCATTACCATGGTTGCCACCGTAGCCAGGAATGGTGGGGCCACCGGAGACTGGGGGCTGTTTTTTGGTAGCTCTCGCCATGCGGGATATAGTACAATAGATGCCATGCTTGGCGAACGCGTTGGTGACCGCAGATTTTTTATTGTTATTTTCCTGTTATCAAAATCTTTCGCCTCTTACTACACTTATAGGAAAATATGGGGTAGTAGATATCCTTAGCCGCCACTATACGAACACAGTGACCATTAATAGATGGCGCTAAATTAATTTCTTGCTATCGTATATTCTGATATATGAAAAGAAGCAGGCCATCAACGTCAAAGGGGAAACCTTTGGTAGTACCTTTCCAATCCACCTCCTAAACGTGGCGACTGTGGTCTTTTTATAGAAGAGGAGGCAAACGAGCATGCGGCTCACCTGATGGTAAGTGACTACCGCCGCCCATGAACAACCGCAACACCAGGGGAATTGCAGGTGCGTTTTTTTTAAATGGAAAAGGTTCATGAGCTGTTACAATTTGTTATAATGATATATAAGGAGGGAGACTGGTAGAAAATGCCTTGTTGCATTAAGTCCGCCTTTTTGTACTTGGTGTACAAATAATAATGATGTCCTCCAGACCGAAGTTCGGTCACGGCGGTCATCGGCGCAGGACAGGATTATAGTGCCCAAGTGTATGCACAAGTACAGGTGCACTCTCTATTCCCTCACTCTCATATTCCGATGGGACTGTGAACCGACACGACCGGAGAGAGATCAGGCGTAGGACCAACGGCTTTACGTGCCTTCCGAAGCACGGGGGTGATGTACCGCCAACTTCCTGACCTCGGGCAGCTATTTAGAATTTCTTGCCGGAAAAACTCAATAATTAATTTTTTCGCCCGACCCGGGATTCGAACCTAGGACCTCATGATCAGTAGTCGCGCTACTACTACCACTAGACTAACGAGGCAGTCAAATGAAGCATGGAAAAGTGCAAATTAAGCATAAATAAATAAATATATTTATCTAGCAGATAACTATTCTTAATTTTTTTTTAAATATAAATAAAATTGAAATGTATGTCTGTGTTATCGAAATAACTGCCTTTTATTGAGCTGATTTTTTCCATATCATTATAATATGAGTAAATATTTTTTTTAATTTTTGCCTGCCAGTCTGTCTGCTAAGTGTGTCATTCCATTAGCGCGGAGTGTGTAGTCTAGTTGTTGCGACTAAGGACACTGGTTACACGACTTACCATCAAGTAATTTCGGGACATTACTTGATGGGGAAGGCTTGCGCATAGCTAAACGTTGGAAACGACTTTGGGCTCCACTGACTTTCATGTTAGAAAAATGCTGGTAGGTTGTCTTGTGACTGAGTGGCGCAAGTCTCTAAGAAATGACTATATATTTTAATCTAATCATTTAAATCAAAAAAGATAGTCTATCCTATCAGCCTGTCTGGTCTATCTGTACGGGTTAATCTACAGATTGGATGAACAAATTGTAACGATACCTCACGAACAGCTAAAGAACAATAACAGGAAAGATCCAATTAAAAAAAAACTAAAATTATATTTCCTTAGCAGCGAAATGTTTTGCTTGTTGTGTATATCAGTAGCTGGCTCTCATATCATACTTAAATTTTGAAAAAAAAAAGTATTTTTATTTAAGAAAAATCAAATAAAATTGACCTCAAAACATTAAGGTTTTCATTTCAAAGTGCTTAATTTACAGAATTCAATAAGAGTTATATGCATACTTTATAAATTTTAATTGAATTTAAAAAACATACCCCAACAATTTTTAGTACAGTATAGTTTAATAATAACGTCATGTAGTAATACAAATACATATTAAAATGTCGCAGAGTCGCACGTCATTGATATAGAATCTACTCAAATTGACGTTAAAGCATTATGATTTATGATATACTTTGCTGATTAGACAAAATTCAACACAGTTATAATGTATATGATAAGAAAAAAAATATTTTAACGATTTTGTCGCGTTTACTTTTAACATATTTTAAATTTGAGGAAAGAGTGACAAAGAAAATGTATGGTGCAGAAGTGAATGGCAGAGTCGGAAAGGGACGTCCTAGGCGAATTTATCGACCAAATTGGCGATTTATTGAAAACGGGCCAAATTAGGAGTAGCCTTAACCGACGAGCATGTATGCGTAGGTGTATGGATGAGAAGGAGGCGAGAGAGGTGTGTCAGGATCGTGCCAAATGGAAGTCTGTAGTCTCTGCCTACCCCTCTGGGTGACAGGCGTGAGTGTTTATGTCTATATATTTTAAATTTCTAACATTTATAGTTATTTCGTCAGTTTAACGGGTGGTATCGCAACTCTGCAGTGTATTTTGTTTGTGGTACGAACGTGTCGACCGGGGAAGGGCCAAGCCACAGAAATCGTAATAATACGATTTCTGTATCACACAATTCTTAATGATTCTTAACGAAAGATAGCCAAAGATGTCTATGGTGGCCCAGCAACCATCAGGTTACCATCTGTTTATCACCCTCATTCTATACATAACAATTTAGTACTACTCGACTAAAACAGTTAGGTGCATGACAGGCAGTAATGAAAACTAGGGTGCAGAATACCAAATTACCAGTAGGTACACTGTTTTGTACGTGAATATAGTTCGTACATAGTACATACTAGTGACTTGTACGTAATTATATTATTTCAATTTATTTGTATGCGAGAAAGATTTTGGGTTCCTACTAGGAAATGTGAAATTCTTAATTGGTTATAAATTGTTTATTTGAAAAGTCAAAAGTTTTGTTACATAGTAGAGCCATACCGCAGCTGTATTAGTAGTCGGCGTCGGCCTGCCTCAACGGAGCCTAGCCATCGACGCAGGACAGGATTATATTGCCAAACTGTATGCGCAACCACAGGAGTCACCAGTATAGTTGTAGCACGAATGTACTCGTGATATTACTAATAGCTGCAGCACGGCTATACGAGATAGTGCATAAATTTGTCGCAAAATTTACGCAGTTACGTGGAGTGCAAACGCAAACACCAACAAAACATGTTATGTGACTTATTATATACGATAAGTTTCGAAATTATTACAAGTTGGATCTTTTTTTAATGCAATCGCTCAGATACACTCATAGTTTTGTTGTAAAATGATGTTGAAAATAATATGTTAACACTTTGGGAGTCCACTGGAACCAATATAATACCATAACCTTACTCCAAAACCGTATACAAACTTTATACTTTATAAACGTAAATGATTACTTTCTAATAAGGATTCGATATGTGTAAAGAATTTTTTTAGAGTATTGGGTGGCAAACGAGCACACAATTCACTTGATGGTAATGATAATTGGATGCCGTGGCCATAGACTTTCACATTTATCCTCAACTAAAAATCAAAATGCAAAGGCGTTGTCACCCCTAAGGACTAAGATTGAATGCCTCGATTCCAGTAAAAAGGGTCTGCGGTTCTCTACACTCACCATACAAAACACAACAAGCAGCATTACGCTGCTATTTTAAGCTGGTATTCTGTGAGAGCGTGGTCATGTCCCGGTCAAGCCGACCCATTTGTGCTACAACTATAATATAGCTGCAGCGTTGCTCTACCACGTAAAAAATATAATCGAATCAAATATTAATATTAATTGTTTTTACTTAAACAAAAGCTGCAAGTCTGCAGTCTGTGAACATGTACAGGATCGCCCCCGTCACTACATCAGATTTGATAGACCACAAATCCTCGCTAAAGAACACCGATTCCTTCCAAGGATGATTCGCGAGGCTATTGAAATCAAAAAACATCCTAATTTCAATAGAGAAGATGGCTGGGTGCTACCATCTGCTTGGGATCCTATAATAAATAAAATTAAATCCCAACCCAAGCATACAACTGCAAGACTCCATGATACCATAAGTTCATACTGATCGGACCAAAAGTTAAATTTTAATCTATGGTAACCGCGGTTAACTATGACAGCTGGACGTTGAACATCTCAGTCCTTCCCGTGACCATGGGTGCTGTAAAGCTCTCGAAACGTCGGGTAATTAAAAAGTTAAATATACGCGATAAATTCCATAAAAACTAGTATTATTTCAATGTGTAGTGTTCGCGTAAATATAAGAAATCATTATGCTAAACAAAAGCTGTTACAAAAATATCGAAACAAAATAATAAGAATTTACACTTTCCAACATTCTACTGACGCTTTTTGAACTAACTGCCTTCCAACGCCGTTATTTGCTGTGCTATATTATCGTTAAAAGGTATCGTATCGTTGTAAGAGCGGCAACGTTGCAAAAGTCGACTTGTAATAATAGTAATTAACCAAAATATGTATAAAGGCCGAATACATACGGAATTCCGTTTCGGGTTTCCGAACGCAGCAAGTCCGTAGAAAACCAAGGACCCGTCACACACCTACGGTGGTTTTCACTACACAAAACGGGATTCCGTATGTGTGTAGCCGACTATTTTGTTCCGTTTCGGGATTTCGAAATGGAATTCCGTACGTAGTATGTGGCGGGCCTAAGGACTGTGTCCGATGGACCCATTAGAAACTCTTTAAGTGTTTAAAATGCGTAATAATAAGATGTATAATCATGCATCAAAACTTTAAGAGATAGAAGACAAAGTGTGAGGACTATTTTGTGTGAACTAAAAAAGTTTTTTTTTTAAATTATTTTATTCAAATAACCCCCAAAGTTTAGAGTATAAATAAGCAAGCCCCGAAATTAAAATGCGACGGGTTGCACTCCGAGAGTGCCGGCAGAAGTGAAAACTTGAATATTAACGTTGTGCATTTTTGATATTTTGGAATGGTTAGGGAATAATTTTGCACGAGTTTCTTTAATTATCACTATAAAAGTACTATCATTTATGTGGTAGAATACAATATTTATTTATTGCGCTATCGTACACAAACATGACAATTTATATTACATTAAAAAGTTTATCTCTTAGAAAACGCGGCGTACTATCTAGTCTCCATCCGTCTTACGAATTTTCGATCAGGTCACGTGTCCTGATGCGAGTTTAACATTTTATACTCATTACAAAAAAAGTGTACAACGCCGCTAAGGAAGTTTTCACTTCAAAAATTGCTTCTAGTAGAAAGCAGTTATTTCGATATCACAGATATAAAAGACACTTTAATTATATGTATTTACACATTACATGTACATTCAGTATTTGGTATACAATTATTAACTAACGAATATGATAATGTATGTTGTATGCGCCGTGGTAGATCAGCAGCAGGTTGAAACTTCGCCGGCACCAATGAAATTGTTGCAATTCCAAGTGCTGATTTATCACGTGATTGTCGGGAAAACAACAACTTTAGGAAACCTGCGTGTGTGAAATATTTAAAAAAATATTTTGAAGACATGTGACGGCCACCAACATGAGCTAGGGCAGCGCGGCGGACATTTCTTTTCATTCAAATTCTGTCAAAAATGAGAGTAGGTCTACAGCAGTAGGATGTGTGTGAGCTAAAGCTTAACTTTTATTTTATAATGAAAATGGTTTTCTTTTTCAGTTGGTATGCACAACCATCCTTGTCATGAATTGTTACATGGTATACTTTATGTTAGATCATGGAAAGTTTCTGTTTGAACTTGATGTGGCGGAATACTTGGACGTGAATTTCTCCGACGTCACTTTGGAGAAGATAAAAAAATTGCACACACTCGTATTGAGTTACATGTTCGTGTGGATTATATTCAAGATTTTGTATATATTAGCAATATTTTTAACATTTTACGCTGTTTACAAGGTAAATCTACATACTGATAATTGATCATCATCAATGTGATTGATGACTGAATTTATGGCTGGGAATTTTCTTCCCAATAGTCTTACTTGCTGGACTAGGGAACCATAATGGATGCATTCCCGATATTCTTATCAAATAGTTCAACATGTAAACTTACTATGAATTTTTCTACGAAATAGACCTAACTGGTAAGGCAACTGGTAAGATAATTCCCTCCTACTTACTAAGTAGTTCTATTCTAAAAAATAGATCGAATTTTATATTAGTAAAGTTCTTACAATTCACGAGTGCCGTCGACTTTTGGATGTGGTTCAAACATACATGACATGCACAGTGTGACAGTGTGCGTGCCTGGCGGAGCGGGCGTCCGCTCGCAACTGACCGCACACTGTCACACTGTGCATGTACAAGTTTTTTTTAACTTTTCTAAGCCAGCACTTAGCTACAATTCCACCTGATGTTTAGTGGTGATATAGCTTAAGATGGTAAAGCGCACTGACTTAACAAAAACCTATTCACTCTTCCCTTGAAGATACCCACATTGTAATCGGATGGAAAGAAAGATGCTGGAAACTTATTCCATTCCTTTGCTGTACGCATGACGAATCACGTAGCAAACCGTTCGAATGCGTGGTAAGTCAACAACGAAAGGGTGGAGACTGGCCGAACGTCTGGTTGTCCGATGGTGGAAGGGAGAGGGAGGAATTAAATTATGCCATTCCTGCGCACACTCTCCGTAATGCATCCTGTAGAAGACCGAAAGGCTGGTTATTTTGCGACGGTGTTTGAGACTAGTAAGATTGGTTTCAACCAAATTTGGGTCACCAATAAGCCTCTTAGCACGCCTTTACATTTAGTCCAAGACCGTTAGGTGGCATTTTGCAGCATCAGCCCATATATGGCAGCAATACTCCATGCACGACCGGACTTGCGCTTTATATAAAGTAAGCATCTGTCCCGGCGTGAAATATCGCCGCACCTTTGCAAAGACTCCTAGCCTACTTGCAGTCGCTTTTGCCTTGGACTCAATGAACCGTCTGAAGTACAGATTTGAGGATATCTCAACCCCCAGCAACTATAGGTGGTTGGTGTATTCCAGTGATACATTTCGGAAAGAAGGAGCCAAGGTTAGCTGGTTCCTTTTTGCAGTGAAGAGACACGCTTGTGTTTTGGAGGCGTTGAATTTCACAAGATAGGTATCGCCCCATTCAGAGACTGACTGTAGTGTGAGATTCACACGCTCTACCATAGCTTCTTTGTCGGACTGGATTTGCTCCCGACTGGCCCGAGGCCCTGGTTGGTATCTCTCCACAACTGTGCTGTCGTCAGCGTACCCATAGATGTCGGGCATAAGCAAATCATTTATATGCAGCAGGAAGAAAGTTGCGGAGAGAACGGACCCCTGAGGAACACCGGCGTTAGTCGTCACTGGATCGAATGAGCGGCCATCGACGACGAATCGGAGAGACCGTTCATTTAGAAAGTCCTTTGCCCAGTCAATAGATCAGGGGATAAGCCGTACGCTGAAAGCTTAGCCGGAAGGCTAGCGTGCCAAACTCTGTCAAAGGCCTTTGAGACATCAAGGGAAACGGCAAGTGCTACCCCACTGTTCTCGAGTGCCTCACCTCATACGTGTATGGCATACGCTAGAAGGTCCCCAGCTGACTGATTTCGGCGAAACCCGTATTGCCAGTCACTAAGGAGGTCATTCTGTTCTAGGTATGCCATTAAGTGGGCGCTCCATAATCTTGTAGTCCATACTCTACAAGATTATGGAGCGTATATAATATGTATTTCGGTAACTGAAATTGGTCGATAATTGGCAGGGTCGGCACTGCTGCCTTTTTTGGAACAGGCTGCATGTTGGCCAGCTTCCAGGATTGTGGCACTATTCTAGTCCTAAATGAGAGGCGGAAAAAGCGCGTAAACACAGTAGACAACTCAGGTACACAAGCCTTTAGTAGTATAGCTGGTATACCATCTGGTCCACTAGCTTTATTCACGTCTAGACACTGCAAGGTTTTGAGAACCTCCTTATTTGTGGTACGAACCTCTGACATAGTGGTCCCGCAGTGAGGTAATTTAGGTGGGATGTTAAGTAGATGCTGTGGCCCATAAACATCTACATTTATCCTCGATTAAGAATCAAAACGCAGCTGCGTTGTCACCCCTGAGTACTAAGATGGAATGTCTCGTTTTCAGTATAAAGGAGTCTCAGAATCTCTACACTCACCATACGAAACACAGCAGTATTAAGCTGCTATTTTACGCTGGTTTTCTGTGAGAGCATGGACCTTCCCCGGTCGAGCCTACCCATACGTGCTGAAACCATAATTTAGTTGCTTTTTTTCTTCTATCTGCTTATACCTAGTTGTTATTAACATAATAATCTATATCCCTAAAATGTGACGATATCTAATTTATACTGAGGTGGTGGTGGTGGTGGTGGTTTGGTCGAGTTTTTTTGCGTCTATTTATTATTCATATACTGTTTAAGCTTCATAATCAACAGTTCTGAATTATGTTTTTTTTAATGTCCTCCAGACCGAATTTCGGTGAAGGCGGCAGCCATAATGGAGACTATTTATCTAGTAATGGAGCTATCTGCGCAGAGCAGGATTATAGTGCCCAAGCCTATGCGTAAACACAGGTGCACTCTCTATTTCTTCATTCTTACAATCTGATAGGCGAACGGACCTGACAGACGAGATCAAGCGTAGGACCAACGGCTTTATGTGCTTACTGAGGCACGGGGGTGAAACCGCCAACTTCTTGATTTTGGGCTGTTACTGTCAATTACTTGACAGAAAATTCAATAAATGAATTTTGGCCCGACCTGAGGTTCAAACCCAAGACCTCATAATCAGCAGTCGCGTTTACGACCACTAGACCAAAGAGGCAGTCAATCAAAGCCAAAGTTTTTTTTAATATAGAAATAACGACCGTGACCGTTTTTTTTATTTGGTTCACAAATGGAATGTAACGTTTACATGGTACAGATAACATAAAAAAAGTAACAACCAAATGTTCATTTTAATAACAGTGAACACAGCATGCAACAACTGGACAAGATAACAGATACAAATAAAGAAATGAAAAGAAACTCTAAAGTGATAAATATTAATTAATGGCTAATCGAATGTTAGCCCTTGCTGAGGCCTTAGAACCATGAAAGATGTCGAACAAATCACGAATATTATTATAACTATTAATCATTCTGTACAATGGCGAGTGATGACCTGCCACTGTTTTACAGTGTGGCGTGACAAAAGTCTTTTTGCGGCCCAAACGACTGCCAGCTCTAGGGACCGACACATCTAAATGATTTAAAATGTCCGGAAAGTTGATGAGACCATGGATAATTTTATAGAGGAACATGACATCAGGTGATTCCCGCCGCTTGGATTGCGATTCTAATTTGTAGTGTGCCAATCTACTCTCGTATGAAATGAGTGTCCTGCATTGATTATTTGCATACGATAACTGGTATATAAACCTTTTCTGAATATTTTCCAGTCGGTTTGAGTGACACTTGTACCCCGGATTCCAAACTGGGCTAGCGTATTCCACAATAATTCTCACCAAACAGTTATAGACCGGAATGATTAAACCAGGGTCTTTAAAAGATTTTATTTGCCTGGATATGAACCCGGATAATTTAGAAGCTTTTTTTGCTATGGAGACAATATGACGTCTAAAGCTGAGCGTGCTGTCAATTGAAACGCCTAAGTCTTGGATTTCCGTGACATCACTCAATGGCTCATCGTTTAACTTGTATGTTGCCTCGGTTTTATTTTTCCTTCTAGTTAACTTTAGATGAGAACATTTGCCAGTATTGAGAATCATATGGTTTTGACAACACCAGTCGTATAATCTATTCAACTCGTACTGTAGAGCGGTCACATCTAGTTTGGACCCAATGATTATGTACAGTTTAAAGTCGTCTGCGTACATTTTAAAATTACATTCTATTATATTGGCTAGATTGTTTATTAAAATAAGAAAGAACAATGGACCGATATGAGAGACCTAGGGAACGCCTAAACTAATCTCTCTAAGGATGAATAACCACGTAACGAGACCAACTGTGACCGATTTCTAAGATAGGAAGAGGAGGTCGTGGTTGATGAGATCGAAGGCCTGACTAAAATCGGTGTAAATACTGTGTACTTCTTTATTTCTATCCGGTGCACATGCAATATCAATAACAAAACCGACTAAGTTAGATGTTGTAGACTTTTTAGGCTGAAACCAATGTTGGTTTGGATGCAGGCTCTCTTTGACGTGCCAATATATTGTTTTATGAACAAATGACTCTAGAACCTTACCGGGTGTTGGAAGTATGGAAACAGGCCGGTAATTGAACACATCGGTAAGACCTCCCTTTTTATGGATGGGGATGATGCGTGCCTTTTTCCATACGTGGGGGAAATGTCGCTTCGGATAGAGTGGTTAAATATATGTGCAAGAAGTTTTGACATACTCTCAGCACACTTCTTTAGAATGATCGGAGGCAAGCCATCTAATCCTGAAGCCTTGCTTCTATCCAATCCCATCAATGCTCTTTCTACCTCGTATTCGCTGACACTGAGTGAGCTGATGGTCAGACTGGTCTCGCAACTGTGGAGAGCTGTTTTATTGACGTTGGATGACTTGGTTATCAAATTGGTGACGATATCATCGTATATTGATGTCACCCATGTTTAGCGTCCAAGCGGGCGTAAAACAGGGTTGTGTCATGTCTTCCTGGCTGTTCATACTGTATCTCGACAGCTGTTTATAGAAGCTGAAAAATAGCTGTTTGGGTGTGAAATTGGGTGACATTAAAGTAAATTGTCTGCTGTATGCTGATGATGCAGTGCTTATTGCACCATCAGAAGCAGAACTGCAGGCATTAGTCACGTATATGAAAGAGGAATGTGAAATTAAAGGTCTCCGTTTGAATGCTAATAAAACTAAGGTTCTGGTATTTAAAAAGGACGAAGAGAGAACGAAATGTGAAATATGGGTAAATCAGGAATGTCTAGAACAGGTAAATGAAATTGTATACTTGGGGAGTGCTTTCAGCCGAGATGGAAGATGTGATTTAGATGTGGATAGGCGTGTCGCTGCCGGAAATAAAGTCAATGGTGCCCTGAATGCATTAGTCAAAAGGCAAGGCGTAGTGAAGAGTGCACGCCTTGCAATACATAACTCAGTGTTGGTACCGACTTTGTTATATGGCAGCGAAACCTGGGTATGCCAGAAGAAGCATAAAAGCAAGTTGAATGCAGTGGAGATGCGATCTCTTCGTAAAATGTGTGGCGTTACCATAGCCGATCGAAAGCGAAACGAAGAGATTCGCAATATGGCAGGATTGAAAGATGACCTTATCACAAAAATTGATAGGGGCGTACTCCAATGGTTTGGGCAGGTTGAGCGAATGAGTGAAGACCGAATGGTGAAGAAAATATATAGAGCGAAAGTAAATATTAAAAGGTGTCGAGGTAGACCGAGACTAACTTTCGAAGACCATGTGAGCAAATTGCTCGAAGAGGGGAAGGTCAAGAGTACTCGGATACCTAGACGTGCATGTATGAAGAAGTTAATGAACCTGAAAGAAGCGAAAGAGGTATGTAAGGATCGTGACACCTGGCGATCTGTTCTCTCTGGCTACCCCGTTAGGGATTGTGCGTGAACATAAGTAAGTAAGTATCATCGTATATTGACTGAACGTGCTCTGAGAATAGGTCGCAAATCTCTTGGCCACCTCTGGCAGTCTTGACACCACGAGTCAGCTGAGAAGGGAGGGAATTTGTGTTTCTTTTGAGATCATTAACATAAGACGAGATGAACTTAGGGTTTGATTAATATTTATAAGTTGATCATGTAGCATCCATTATGTCATAATATCTTCCAATGACTATCGTAAGATGCAATAGGGGGAAACCGAAACGAGATGGGCAGCAGCATCTTCCTGATAATAACTATATTATAAAAAACTGCGGTTGGCAATCTGTTTGCCAAGTGTGGAAACTATGGCAAAAACTGAGGCAACCAAAATGCAAGCGTAATTCTAAGTAAGTCTAGATATATTATATCTTCTGGCATTAGTACTGTACCTTGCACACGTTCCTAAAATAAATCGATTACACCTAACTGTCATCACTCGTATTCACAAAAATTTAACAAAAAAACACGAGGTAGAAGTGAAACCCGCAGGCTAAATCCTAAGGTTGTATATGTCTGTCTCTTTCCAGGGTCGTTTTTATTTCATCGAGTTACAAAGTACTAAGTTTATACAAAAAATTAATCAACCGGTTGCACTTATGGTTGTTGTAGGCTAAACCTATTTTATATTAAAAAAAAAAAACAAATATACGAATTAATAATATAAAATTTTGTATCAATAGGAACTATAAAAGTAAAAAAAAACTTAGAATAAAACAGTTTTAATAAAAATATGTTACGGAATATGAGGTACATGATGATGGTCAAATTAAGCTTTGTCGACCTGTAAAATCAAAAATAGGAGGATGACAGAGACAGCACCACAAAGTCGTATACTATAAATAAAAAAAATAGCAAACAAGCCTTGGCAATAATTATGAACATTTAGAAATATCAACTTAATAAAAACTAGCTACTCTACACCATACTAAAATCGACTAAAATGTTTACTATAATATCAACTGTCAAAATGGCGTCGATAAACCAGCGCCCTTTTGACCCTTTATTATTTGATTGACCGATGAAGAGCTATCGTATCACAAAGCCATCTATGCAAATAAGGCTGTAGCTTTAGAGTTACAAGAAAACTTAGACCTTGAATTTTCTAGTGACCATTTTAACCGGATGACCATATTACCCTCACGTATTATATTCGTTAATTGTATAACTATTTTAATGGTTCCTTCTTATTAAATAGGTTATGCTTCAGAGGTGTTCCTATACCTATAAGAAAATTTGGAAAAATAATCACCATTAAGGTTGGAAAAATGGGGAATATAGTTATTGATGTAACTATTTAGACGTCATTCTAAATGTTATATTGAGTTTGTGATATTTCTTTGTTCACTTAAAAGGGTCTAAGAATTAAACTTTTGATAAAAGTTACAATCTGACTTGAAAGAACTGAACATTAAAAAAACCACATACTTAACTTCAGAAGTCGAGGTTTTAATTCTTCTACGAGTATACAATTTATCATAACACCGTCTTATGAATTTGAAAATTATTTTACTCTTTTCAGTACTTTGAAGTCGGCTGTTACTTTTTACTAAAAGTAAAATTTTTAGGAACATTTGGATGCAGGTGGCTCAGGACCGTGTTTTGCGGCATTTCTTGGGGTGGCCTATGTTCGTCAGTGGATTTGGATGTATGATGGCTGTAATGGTGATGATGATGTTGATATGGCTGAATGCTCAAACGCTACTCAATTTAAAGATGTCGTTAAGTATCGTGCTGTCACAGTCACTTTGACTTAAAGTGATAAAGAAAGCACGAGACTAATGGCCAAATGCATAAACGCTACTCAATTTTAAGATGTCGTTAAGTATCGTGCTGTCACAGTCACTTTTACTTAAAGTGATAAAGAAAGCACGAGACTAATGGCCAACTGCTCAAACGCTACTCAATTTTAAGATGTCGTTAAGTATCGAAAATATATTAAAAATTATAATTTAAATTTCAGAAAAAGCCAATGATACTAAAGTACGTGCTATACATTAACACATTCAACTGGATCTTGGACATCTTCTTTTCGGCACTGGGAGCTGCTGTTGCTGAAATCATGTCAAAAGCTGTCTTTGTTATTTGTGTTTGTGAGTAATAACAAAAACTGTTGGTATATAATAATTTTAAAACTATGGGAGATTATAAATATAAAAAATCAACGATGAGATCGTTTATAGTCTTCGCCACGTTGCAGCTATATTACCGGTCGGCTCGATCGGGGTAGGAAAACGCTCCCACAGAATACCAACGTAAAATAGCAGCTTAATACTGTTTGTTTCGTATGGTGAGTGTAGAGAACCTGAGATCCTCATTACTAGAAATAAGGCGCTTCATTTTAGTCCTCAGAAGTGAGAAAACATCTGCACTTTAATTCTTAATTGAAGGAATATGTAGATGTCTATGGGCGACAGTATCAACGTAACACCTTGTAGAATGTGTGCAGGTTTATCACACTTATTCTATAAAAAAATATGAAAAGTTATAGCCATAGTTATAGTCAGATTTATTAAAATCGAAAATGATACTGCTCATGATAAGTTGATTTACTCTACCTATCTGAATTTAATGAAAAAACACACATAGCCCAACTGATGGTAATTGGATGCCGTGGCCCATAGACATCATGATCATCGATTAAAAATCAAAATGTAGATGTGTTGTCATTCCTGAAAAGAATGCTTCACAGTGTGGCTGTACCACGTAAATAAACTAATACTTATCATATTTCGTAGATAACTGATAGTAAGGACCTTGGATCGCTCTAAATGGCGACTATTCAAAATTGTGTATGATTACATTTAGGAATACCAGACCGGAAGAGCAAAATATCTGGATAAAATTTGAAAATGAAAAGATTTTGGGATTCAATAAAAATTAAAAAAATTTAAAGTAATAAGTTTATTTTTTTTATTAATAGACTAGAAAAAGACTTAAAATTGTTGACACATAACTAAAAGTACACTTGTTTTGGTTGCCACATGTATTTGGCATTGGACTATACAAGTCCACAAAGGATCCTTTAGTAGTATTCAGTAAAGATTTTAAATCAAAATAATGCACTTCAAAGTTCAGTCTAATTACTAATCTGTTTGTCTGGAGATTTTGAGTTTTGTCGGGAGTTTGGGGATCATTTAAAATGTCGGGAGAATCCAGACGAATCCCGACCATCTGGCAACTTGATCACATGGCCTACCATCATTGTAATAATGTACTCCAGACTGAATTTCGGTCACGGCGGTGACGGCGGTTTCAAGGATGACTAGCATCTGATAATACAGGATTAATACAGGATCAGCGTAACACTTGATTATAATGCTCAAGTGTTGAGTCGAGTGTGCGCTTGCACTTTTGCATTCTTTTTTCTTACACTCCCATAGTCCGATGGGTCGGTTATTTGAAACAAACGTTGAGAGATTGGGATCAGGACCAACGGTTTTACGAGCTTTATGAGACGTGGGTGTGAAACAAAGCTAACTTCCCAACTCCGGTCTACTAGTGAGAATTTCTTAAAAGAAAAACCGTTTACGACCATAAATCAACGAAAAATCACATTGCCGTGTGGTGGCGGTCGTTGAGAATCCTTCACTATCTTTTTTGGCATGGTTGTCATAACTGAAAAAATTCTAGAGAGATCTTATAGTTTCTGATAACTCGTATCAAAGCATAATCATTTCTATTTTTGGCGTAGAATATCTGCCAAACGTGGCGATTGTGGCATAACCTACAAGCTCATGAAGAATCGTATATTGAAGATCATATGTTCAACTTTTTTTATACAGTTTCGGTTACTATCATATCTTACATTTTAAGTTACGCCACTGCTTAGTCTCAACATATATAATTTTCCGTTTCAGTATTCGAAGGCTACAACTTAATAGCGATTAGCAGCCAATACAAGCAACTCAGGGGAAAATCGAAATTACTTTTGAATGAAAGTAACTCTAACCATAATTTGGAAACGGCTTCCTCAACATCTTCTGTTGCTACTACTAATACTACACAGCCTCCCATCCAAACTCAACCATATTGCCAGACCTGTTCATGTCGCTTAAATCCTGTTTTCACAAGAAATTCGGAGACTGCAAACACCTCCAGCGTTGAATCAGCAACAAGCTCAAATCCGGATGCACTCGTTATTGTGAATGAATTTCAACAAAAAGGACTTAATATTAAAGATATTGATATTATATTTAACCAGGATCAATTATTACCAAGAGAAAGCACCGTTTTTGAAAATGTACAGTGTGCGAACACATCTGTAGTTGTTGATTTTCAAAGACTTTCAAGACCAACAAACCTGGAACTGCCACCACCATATAAGGAGAAAAAGGTGGACTTAACAGATGATCCAGTAATTTACGACGAAGATCAGTTGCAAATAAGTGGAAGTCCAGTCGTAGAAAATAGACGGGAAAATGAATCGACGTAAAATATATTATAAAAATAGATATAGATGACTATAGAAGATATAATAAATATTTATCTTGAATAAACTTACGAGTATATATACGGATTTTATTTATATGAAACGTCGGGAATTAAAAATTAATTAAACGAAGTTAATTAAACGCGATAAAATCCGTATATATAGTTTTATTCAACATGTAGTGTTTGCGTAAATTTAAGAAGTCATCATTTATCACGAGTTAATATCAAAATAAACCCGACAGTTAAGAGGATTGTGAAGTTGTAAATTTTCATACAAAAAGCGATAAAAATTCCCTCCCGTAAACATAGTATAATTTTTATAATTTTTTGTAATGTTGTAGATGTAATGAAATACTAGGTACGTTTTTATTTTAAGGAAATGTTGCGTATAATATAAATTATTAGCATCTAAATATCTATATTTTTGACTTAAAAACTTCCTCAAGCTTTTTATTTTTTTAATAAACTAAACTGAATTACTGATAAAGAAAAACGTACAGACCTAAATTAAGATACACTGAATCTAATGAGAACAAAACTGTCTCATTTCGTAAAGGTTTAAGTGGCTGAAAACGTCATTGCTCGAATCAATATTTTAAAAAGCAATTGCAATTACTTCCAACATTTCTTGTTGCATAATTACGCATCACTCTAAGATTAGATATTTTAAGAATAAAGCCTTTATGGTATTCTTTTAAGTTTAATGGAATTTTAATAGTTAGATAGTCTTCACCTGTCTACTGGTGTGTACATATAATTTTTTTTAATAATTTATTATCATCATTTGATAAAACCGCAAAACGCTAATAACGTCTTGCGATCCATTCTAATTTTGTTTCGTTTTGATGTATTATTATTGCATTTTACGTAGTGCGTCTAGGTATTCTCAAGAATGCATCAAAATAAGCCAATATTAAAGATTCGCCCTTACCCCTACGGACAGGTGGGTCGGTAAGCGCAACGATGTAACTGCATTGATAAAGTTGATGGTCGTCATCCAACTGAGAGATTTGATTTCATCACCATTACAGTCCTTTTCAAGTGCACTGTTGAACGTAGGCCTCCCCTAAAGAAGGGCAAATGCAAAGAAAAATGCCAATTAGACCATGCTGAAAATTAAAATATTATAAAAAAAAAACGGTTGCAAAGTGATTCCTACGGGTACACGATTGCCCCAGAGTTAGTCAACCGAACTACCTTTATTGCAGTTATACCTTAACTTTAACAAGTTATTAGCCGACGCTGATTTGCCCTTGTCTGGTATTGGCTTACTAATAATGTACTAATTACTACTATTGGTACTTTTTTTAGATACGTTAAGATATATTTTTGTTTACATAAGCCCTTTTTCCAGTTTTCCTGGGGGTCCAAACATAAAAAAATATGGATTGAAGCCATGGAAGGTTTATCTAATAATTTTTTCAGACTGACTTCTTATCTATACATCACAAAAGATATTTGAAGGACAATGCAAATTTACGTTTAATTAATCCTTTTCACAATACAAATATTGTGAAAAGGATCATCAAAGAATGTGATGACTCGAAAAAATGAGGCTACAGATCACAGTACTGAAGAAGAAGGAAATATAAGCTCGAAACGTGGTAATCACTCTTGTAAAAATCACAGGTAAAATAAATATATCAATATTCGATATCATTTCTTGTTGAAAATCTGAGTTGCTAAAAATACCAAACGGCATTGAAAATACCAAAAACGTGCTTTGAAAATTTTTGGGATACGCCAAAGTCGGCAAATGTCCACTAGATCGTTTAATAACTACAGATGTGTTTAATTGTTATGGCTTAGTTAAATTTCTAAATGTTACTGTAACATAAACTTTTAATAAATTTTATTATTATGTAAATATAATTTTATTTATCAAACAACTGCCTTCATCATCATCACCATCATTACAACTCTTCACAAGTCCACTCAATAGTGGTAACTCAGTAGTGTTCAATAACATAGGCCTCCCCCCAAGGTATGCCACAAAGCACGGTCCTGAGCCACCTGCGTCCATCGAGTTCCTGCATGTCTTACCAGGTCGTCACTCCATCTAGTGGGGGGTCGCCCTACACTTCGCCTACCGGTACGAGGCTACCACTCGAGAACCCTTCTTCCCCAACAATTGTCGGTTCTTCGAGCTATATGGCCGGCCCATTGCCACTTCAGCTTACTAATCCGTTGGGCTATGTCGGTCACTCTGGTTCTACTGCGGATATCCTCATTTCTGAGTCTATCACGCAGTGAAACTCCGAGCATAGCCCTCTCCATAGCTCGCTGAGCGACTTTGAGCGTCCTCATACGGCCAGCAGTGAAGGACCACGTCTCAGTTCCGTAAGTCATCACTGGCAACACGCACTGGTTGTACAACTTAGTTTTCAGGTTTTGAGATACACCTGACCCGAAGATGTGTCGTAATTTCCTGAACACTGCCCAGCCGAGTTAAATCCGTCAATTGACCTCTTGGTTGGACTTAGTCGGAATATTTGTCCCAGGTAAACATACTCGTCAACATCTTTGAGCTTAGTTCTCTCAACAACTACCGGCATAGGTGTGACATGGACATTAAACATGATCTTGAGGTCATTGAGCATAGTGCTAAGGTCCTCCAGCGATTCTGCCATAAGGACTATATCGTCGGCAAATCGAAGGTGAGTGATGTACTCGCCATTGATGTTAATACCGTATCATTTCCAGTCCAGTAGCTTGAACACGTCTTTCAACGCAGCGGTGAAGAGTTTCGGGGATATAACGTCACCCTGTCTTACACCTCTCCGCAGTTGGAAGGTTTCGAACTCTGGTTCTGTACTCGGATAGCCATCGTAGCCCTACTGTACAAACACTTCAGCACTTCGATATACCGACAGTCAACTTGGCACCGCTGAAGGGACTGTAGAACCATCCAAATTTCGACGGAATCTAAGGCTTTCCCATAGTCCACATACGCCAGGCAAAGTGGCAGATTGTACTCTTCGGTCTTCTGTACAATCTGCCACAGGGTATGTATGTGGTCTATGGTACTGAAGCCTTTTCGGAAACTGGCTTGTTCGGGAGGCTGGATGTCGTCGAATCTGCGAGCGAGACGATTCGTAATGACTCTCGAAAACAGCACGTAGACGCGGCTCAGAAGGGAAATCGGTCTGTAGTTCTTCAAGAGAGCGTTGTCACCTTTCTTAAAGAACAAGACCACCGCACGTCTGCTCCACGCCTCCGGAGTATTGCCACCATGTAGGACGGAATTGAAGAGCTTCTGAAGGACTTCAAGTACCGGTGTTCCACCCGCTTTCAGAAGCTCCGCTGTAATTCCATCCTCCCCTGGGGCCCTGCCGTTTTTAAGGTGTAAAACTTAACTCCGACCGCATAGACAGGTTCCTCGAGCTTGTCATTCAATCTTCTAGGCACTGAAAGCGGTTACGTAACTCAAGTTGAAAAGTTTGAGGATTCTGGATCAGAGCACGTGGGGACGGAGCGTTGACTTCATCAGACGAGACCTCTCCAACTTAATGTTTAGGTTCAGTGTGCCTCTAACAATTCGGTGATCACTGCCAGTTTTCACCCTTGCGATTACTGAGACATCACTGAACAGTTGGCGTCTGGTCGTCATAATGAATTCAATCTCATTTTTTGTCAAACCGTCGGGGCTCGACCATGTCCACTTCCTATGGGGCCACTTCTGGAAGAAAGAGTTCATCACAAAGAGTCCCTCTTTCTTCGTTAAGTCAGCCAGCTGCTGACCCCTACTATCCGTTGTCCTACTCCAAATTTCCCTAACTTCAGCTCAACCCTTTCTCTAGTAACTAGTTTTGCGTTGCAGTCTCCCATCAACACCGTGTAGTGGGTTTCGGAGGAATGCATGGCTCTGGAAATATCCTCATACATTTCCTCCACCTCCTCATCGGGATATGCCGAGGTTGGTGCGTAAACCTGTATGACCTTCAGCGGATACCGTTTGGTAATTCTGAGTATTAGGAACGCAACCCTCGTCGATACACTGTCAATCTTTAAAACGTAGTTAACGAGAGACTTGTGGATGATAAATCCAACACCTCCTTGGGACAGATGGTCGCCCTCCCGGTGATAGAACAAGTTGCCAGACTCGAGGATTACCGTGTCCTCCCCCCTCTCTTCGGACCTCAGATAATCCAATAATATGCCAGCGCAAATTATCTAACTCCTCTTCCAGCTCCAGTATCTTCTCGTCAGTCCTCAGGGTGCGTGCGTTATATGTTGCCAGGTCGAGTCGTCGTAGGTGGCAGCCGAACCTCCACCGGAGATTATTAGCACCCCTGCCCCGTGGTTACCATAGTCGCCATCGTAGGCAGGAATAGCGGGGCCGCCGGGGACTGGGGGCCGTTTGTTTGCGTCGTTATTCGTAGGGGGATATTTGCCATAGTTGCCACGCTTGGTGAGTGGGTTGGCAACCGCCGTTTTTTTATTATATTACTAGCTGTTACCCGCGGCTTCGCCCGCATGGTCACTGGGAAATGAACTATCCATTATTTTTGAATTGAAAGAAAATTGAGTTTTATAGATTTGTCAGAGATGCAGCCATTAAAAGAAAACTGAGCAAAATTGATTCGTCAGCCTATTTAAATGTTTTGAAACGCAGCGTATAGGAAAGCATGAAAATGGCCTGTTGATTCCAAATGGAAATGGGATATTTTTTTTAATTAAAGGAAACTGAGCATAATTATCCGTCAAGGATGGACTTTTGAAAAGAAACTGAGCTAAATTGATTTGTCAGTGTAGCAGTTTTCTGAATTAAAAGGAAGCTGAGCCAAATAAAAGATCCGTCAGAGACGTAGCCTATTGAGTTGAAAGGAAACTGAGCTTAATAAGTCCGTCAGAGGTGCAGCATTTGGAATTGAAAAGAAACTGAGCTAAATAGGAAATTTTGAATTGAAAGGGAAGATCTGTGGGAATTCTGATTAATCGATTGTGGGAACTTTGAAAAAAAAAAACTAACTGAACACTATTTTAAGACGCTACTGTACA